CCGCCCAAATGTTCACGCAAAGAAAGAAGGCGTAACTTTTATTCTCGCTGTTGCCGCCGCCATGTCGTGGAAACGCTGTGTGTTTCATTGTGAAAGTGAAACTACTTTGTTTGGTATTCCAAAAGAGGACACAACTAGAAATCAGTGGTTAAGTTGTATTTACAACACTGTTCCAGAACACTTCAAACCAAATATTCAGATGTGTGCAACGCATTTTACGGAGGACGAGGACTGTTTCCTGGGAGAGTAGCCTACAATGCCGGTGTTCCAGTGAATTCAGTTCCCCTGTTTCCCCTTCGGCGCACATGCTGACCCTATACAGTCTATGATGCTGACAAATAATGCTGACTCACAGCCTGTAAGTACGTTTTCATATTTAAAGGATTTGCCACTGACGATTCAAACATGAGTTTTGAGCAGTGTAGAGTAGCGCTTGTTGTTTGTCGTTTCTCCGATCACAAATGCAGACATGGTTTTATGTTTACGCGGCGTGATGCAATGCAATGCTTAAAAAGACAGCATAAGTCATTATAATCATTAATTATGTCCCCACTGGATGCAACAAATGCCTTGTTTATGATGGGTTTTTATTGGTTTTGTCTCTTTGTACCCCGACATGGCATCACAGTATGGTGAGGGGTTTTCCGTCACACAATTCGGCCAGTCACAACGCACTGGATAGCTGGCCAATCAGAGCACACCTGGCTTTTCAGAACAATGAGCTTTGTACAAATCGACGCGTTTCAGAAAGGCGGGGCAAAGAGGAGAAATAATAATGTACAGTATGTGGAAAATAATGTGTTTTTTAACCTTAAACTGCATAAACACATTTCATTACACCAAATAATGTTATTTTTTAGCAACGTCATATGACCCCTTTAATGACATGGATTACTTGTCTTTTCTACCGTTCTGGACCTTGAATGTGTAAGTTGCATGACTGACTGTAAAGAGACTGGAAGCTCTTGGATTTCATCAAAATATCTTAATTTATGTTCCGAAGATGAACGAACTACGAAGGTCTTAGGGGAGCGGGACGACACAAGGGTGAGTAATTAACAACAGAAGTTTCATCTTTGGGTGAACTAACCCTGTAAGACTCCGCCAATGAATCCAAAAGGATGTCATGATTCACTTGCATCCAGCCAAAAACTGTGATAGGCTATATAGCCTACTATTAACACAGGTGCTGAATATTGTATTATCTGAGAATAAAATGACCTACTTGATTAAGTATTTCAAATTCAAAATACTGTCTCTGAAAGTATTTAATAACAAATTACATTTCATTTCTTTTGTCCAGCAAAATACAAATTACAAAATACTCAAAAGTAATTAAATACATTTATTTAAAATACTGTCCATATCTGGTATCCATATATATATATATATATATATATATATATATATATATATATATATATATATATATAAACAAACACTATTTGTCACTCTCATTTGGGGTGCATCGTTCGTTACACCGTTATATCTACTAAAATACCTAAATCCTCTAACAGAATTTCATCTGTGTAATTGAGTCGAACTTTGAAATAGTAATCAAACCGAACTCTGACAAGCTGGATTGAATATTTCTGTCCCGTCGGGTCAACATGGCACGCTTATCTTCAAATCGACGTGTTGCAGCGGCGTCCGCATCGGATTTCTCTGCTAAAGAGGCGTTGAACTCTAGATATGCCTTTGGTCAAAAGCCAGACCGGCTATTCGCCGACTCAGCTAGCTCTGGGTCCATTATCTTTGCCCTGATATAAGATCGATGTGATTAATCTCGGAAAAAAATAAATAAATAAATATCCAAGCCCGTTCTAACCCTCTCGCTGCAACGAGCCACTGGAGAAACCTTCCCAGATCAGATGGCCGCTCCTCCGTTTTTAGAGCGCGCAGAACAATGAGAGGCTATAAACGGTACAGAAATCTGCATCCTTTTAGCAAATGAAGAATTAAAAAACACAAGCCCACAGCGTTGAAGATCTCTGCCAGGAAGCGATGGCTACTTGAGGATTTCTCTGACAAATTTATTAAAGACCTTTATGACTTTACCATCATCAGAGAGAATAAATAAGACATAAAACTTTTTTTTTTCCACATAACACATACAGGAGCCACGGCGCCTCTCGGCCAAATGTTTCCAACAGAGTGAAATGAACAAGACACCTCTTAAAACACACAAATGCATAGAGGAACTCCTACTGAATAGAAAGAGACAACAACAACAACTTGTCTATCCCTGTTGTGAAACATACAAAGTCTCTGTGATCATATTGTCCAAGAAGATTGTATAAAAATAAAGACTCCACATTGATAAAATGTTATATAATGTAAATAGACAATTTGGCAACGACCAGACACTTTGACCAAAACTGGTGATATCACATACACATCAGTAACAGCAATGATGGATGATTTCATTTTTCTTGGTGTACTGTAACTGACTTGAATTCTCATTTTGAAGAAGAAAATAAATTATTTTCATCATCGTATAATTCAAAGTTATGGTCTAGGTATGGAAAAAGTTGGTGAAAAGCTCCAATAGTTGGTGAAAGCTCTCCTCTCAATGTTGTGTCCTTGTAGAACCAAACAGAAGTCCAAAGCCGAGACTTTTCAGGTCAAGTCTTAGGTCCATCGCTAATTGATTTCCAACTCTTCTGCCATTAATAGAGAAGATACAAGGTTCATCCGCTCTCTAATCCCTGTCCACTAGTGGAGATCTGCTCTAGGTCTCTTTCCAAATGTGCATCTTCAAAACTATCAGAAGTGGGCATGATCCACTTCATCCAACCAGGACGCCGGGCTTGCAGGGAAGTCCGGGTAGCCACCGCTGCTTCCCGTGGACAAATCAGAGCACGGCCCGTTTCCCCCGCCTATCATGCGAACCCCTGGAGTCATGTTCTGGCCTCCACTCTGACCTACCATGGGCAGGCCAGACTCTGGGTAGACCAGGCTGGAGATGAGGGGCTGGTGTCTGGGAAGAGCCTGTAGTGAGCCTGGAGATTGCGGGAGGCTGTAGGGGCTGCTGGCTTGGATGTCGTGGTACTGCTCCTGTGAGGGCATGATGGTGCCGTGCTCCAGCGGGAAGGGCGGATGACCTCCACCCTGACGACTCAGAGACGGAGAGCTTTCACTCAGACTGCTGTAAATGCCGTTGGAGTGACCCAGCTCTGACATGGGCGGCTCGTCTGTGCATAGAACATGGCGAAGGGAAAACTTAAAGTGAGTGGTGGATTGTTCATAACACAACAATTCAGTTATGTTCAACATAAATGCACTCTTAAAAATTAAGGTTCTTTATTGGCATTGATGGTTCCATGAAGACACTTTAAAACTTTAAAGAATCCATGATAACTTTCCATTGGAGAAAAGGCTCTATAAAAATGTTCTTAAGGTTCTTTTAAGAACTGATCTCTATAAGATTCTTTGGGGAACCCAAAATGGTTCTTCTGTGGCATTGCTGCGAAAACCTCCTTTTAGAACCTTTATTTTTAAGAATGTGGCTCTTTGTGATGGACACCAGTATTACGACCAAAAATCTCACTGAAAAACTGGCATGCAATATGTCTGAACTCTCACTTTTCCCAATTATTTTCTAAACAGGCTTTTCAGAAAATTACTCAATAAACAGGTCTATGCCTTAAATCAAATGAACTGGCTCTGACATTGCAACATTTGAGTCAAAGCAAAAAAATAAAAAATGATTGAAAATCATTCATGAACACTTAGGGATGATGAATGAAGTCCTTGGTTCAGAGAAACACTGATCTTAAAGTTTTTATTTGATACTATATCACACAGTAGTTATATTTGTGCAGTTTATTCTTATTTATTTACTCATTTATCTTGGAGCAAACATACCTGTGAACGAGACCTCAGCATCGCTGTCCATGCCCTCTTCCTGAGTGCTGTCTTTGTCTGATTTGGAGCTGCCACGTGACCTCTTCATGTTTCTGAAGTACTGACCCCATCTCTGCCTACCTGCATCTTTTTTCAGTCTTTTCTCCTTTGCTCTTCTGTTCTGAAACCAGACCTGTGCAGAGACGTGGGTTAGGTTCACACCTACCTGATCATAGAAAAAATTGAGGCACCACTGTAAAAAGTTGTAGTAAAAAAGTACAAAGCTATTTCTACCTGACATGAGTCTTTTTTTAACATAAAAGTCATATAAAAACCAAAACCCATTCCTCAATGTTTACGATTTTTCTTCTGCTATTATTATTTGTTTTTCATATAGCCTAATTAACATCAATACATGTACAAGCTAAGCAACATAATGACACACTGGATAAATGTACGCACGCATTTATCAAAACGGAAGCAGAAAGTAAATAAGCGTTAAAATCTTCAGTGTGACGCATGAATATACTTTGTACATTTTCTGCATGATTCAGTGACACTCACTGCCTTCGACTTTACAAGAAATCGAGACAGTATTTCATACAAGTCAATCGAGCCGCTGGCTTTAAAAAAATAGTAGAAAATCTTCTGCATGAAATAATAAAAGGTTATGTGCTAATGACACGAGTGCATGAGGCACTATAAATAACAGGGTATAATACAACAACTGTATGAAATATATGACACTTGAATACATAAAACAATAAAGGTTTTAATGACACGAGTAAGGCATTTTCTTGTGTGAATAATAGCGTAAAACATATAACGGAATAATACATAATGAATATATTACATGAATATTATAATTGAATAGTAGCCTATATTATAGTCAGCTGGGCTACGCGTGTTTTCCTATTTGCGAGATGTTTTTTTTCTTTAGTATTATTAATGAATATTTTTCACTTAGTGTCTTAATTTCAACTCCGTTGTCAGTTCACCTCAACAAACGTGTTTCGTGTGGTAACATTTATTACATATCACGAAACGACTATAAGTTACATTTTAAGGGTGAGATAAATAACCGGGCGTGTTCGCGGTGTAGTCCTGTTGTAATGCTCATGCACTGCATTTGAATGGACCGAGAAAGAGCTGTAGTAGGTGTAATATATAGGCTATGGAGATGTTACCTGCACCACCCGCATGTCCAGGCCGGTCTCTGAGGACAGCTGCTCCCGTACGTGTCGCGCGGGTTTCGGTGAGTTATTATAAGCGTTCTTCAGCGTCTCCAGCTGTTTGGCGGTGATTGTTGTGCGCGGGCGTTTTGCTGTCGAATCCGCCTCTGTAATATAAGAAACACATTTTGATTTACACAAACTAATTTATTTATTTATTATTCTACAACTATAGGCTATATATTTATGCTAATTGCGACGGCACCGTTAAGGCGTAATACGCTTCTTAAATTATTCTATTCTATTCCGTTATATTCTGTTTTCTGAGGTTTATAACAAAGGTAAATGCATTTCAAATAATATCTAACTTTATTATTTATTATTGTAAATGTGTTTATTATTATTATTTTAATTCGTTTAGACGGACTAATTAAATCCTTATAGAAACAATTGCAATTTATGCATTCTATTTATACATTATATTCTGTTCTAATCGGAGCGCCGGTGAAGGGAAGGCACTGAAGGTCCGAATTAAACATTTAGAATGCTTCTATTCAGTGTAATGTAAGTTTATCTGCTCAATGAATGACGCTCAGGGTCTCTTCCAGACCCCGTACCTAAATAATTCACAACGACCGTTCCGTCTCTGTAATATAAGAAACATCTTAATTTAACAACGCGCATTTATTTCTTATTAGACATTAGAATGTATTCTTATTTCGGGATTTATGCACGTTTTTATCATCGATTCTATTCTATTCTATAGGTCTAAAAAGTTTTTTTTTTAATTTCAGCGATGGTTCCATGACGAATCTTTACGGAACTTTGCCATTGCGCAAACGGTTCTTTAGTTATGGAAGGTTTTTCGATTGTTCAAATTAAGAAATAGGCCTAGTCTCTCTCTCTTCACAATAAGAAAAAATGAAAACTTTTTAAGAACTGTTCACTGAAATGTTTTTTTGGGGGGGAATCCAAATTTGTTCTTCTGCGGCATCGCTTCGAAAACCCCCTTTGAAACTTTATTTTTAAATGTCTATTCTATTCTATTCTATTCTATTCGACTGAAACACCTTTATTGAACGCTCAGAATGCACACATCCATTGATGTGCAGTGTAACGTGAGTTCATCTACTCAGTGGATGACACTAAGGGCCTTTCCAAACTTCATTTCCAAATAAATCACTAGGCTGTCTGATTTGTGCAGTATTAAAGCGCTGAATCTGGCCGAAAATGGCCCCGAATGCAGATTGTGTCTCTCTGACTCCATAGATCAGCTCTAGCGCGTGTGTTCAGCGCTCACTAGAACGCTTCTGTACGGCCTTGGCACTTATCGATTTGGAGGCTGGCGAGTTCGCAATTACCTGAGCCGGGTCAAATGTTTATGGACGAGCCCATGACCAGCGAGATTAAGCTCAGAGTTGAAAGCGGCCAATCAATGCGAGGTCATCGAATAAAAGAAGTAAAACAATTAAGACTTTGGGAACTGCGCTTGCTCAAACAAAACAGCGTTTGAACTAATTTCTCGAATTTTCTCTTTTAAAAACAAACACATGTTCTTAAAAAAAAAACATCTGCTGAATAAACGATGATATATGCACTCTAAAAAATGCTGGGTTGTTTCAACCCAACTTTGGGTCAAATATGGACTAACCCAACTTTTGGGTTAAAAATGTAATATAAAAATTTAACCCAACGGTTGGGTTAGTCCATATTTGACCCAAAGTTGGGTTGAAACAACCCAGCATTTTTTAGAGTGTGTGCATGCCATGTACCTCTCTGTTTGGCGGTCTCATAATCGGCTTTACACACCAGTCGACTGTCCTCCATCAGGTAATACTCATCACCTGTGGCCAGCTGCCTCTTACAGACGATACAGGCGAAGCAGTGCAGGTGATACACGAAATCCTGCGCCCTCCGGACCACCTGTGTCGGCGGGATGCCCTGCTGACACGCGGCGCACTTGGTCCCGAATCTCCTGGGGGCAAAATACAGGCAAACACCGGTCAGATGGCACCCGAAGCGTGGGTGTGAACGATATGAAACGATATATGTGCTGAAGCATGAAGGACTCACTTGAAGAAGTCGTCTTTGCAGTAGACACTGTCGCCTCGACTGAAGCATTTGTCGGCCAGCTGAGACTGACAGTCGTTGCATTTCAGACATTTGCTGTGCCAGTGTCGATCTAAAACCTTCAGGATAAAACGATCCACGATGTGCTGGTTACAGCCCGCGCAAACCGGAATATCTACAAGTAGAAAATACAAGAAAGCGGTTAACATCTAAAATACTCTATCAGAGCATCATGAACCTTTTTCCCCAATAACAACAAGAACAAACAAAAACAAGAACAGCAACAACAACGCTATTTATATATATATATATATATATATATATATAAAAGTATATATATATATATATGACAAATACGCCATATTGGAGGATTGAAGAGAAAAGTTCTGCTTTCAGCAAAACACCAAAGCACATAATTTCATCGCGATAATATTTCCAACACCATATGGCTGTACCTTCCGTTTTATGCATGGAAAAAAACACCTTAAAAAATACTTCTTACCTTTACTTGGAAATTATCAGTATTCTGTTTAGCATCCAAATAGCACCAAAATTAAAACTAAAGAGCGATCAAATTACAAGAAATAGATGGAACTAAACGACACATAGAACTTTTATAAGTGTTAAAGATCATTTTAGCGTAATACATATTATTATAATTATTATTTGATTAATAATTCGATATGTACTGTATTGTTGTTGTTATTAAATGAATAATAATAATTACATCTTTACTGTGTTATTATACAATATTACAGCATATGAGCACAGTTTCATGATAAATCACAATGCAACTCAAGGTCACAGTAAACTACACCAGTAAAGTGACGAGCTCTTATTAAAGCAATCATTCTCTTTAACAACGTAAAACTGAGAACGCTCACTTTAATGTGTTCATTGATGTAAATCTAAAGTCTGTCTTCGTATAAAAAGCTTTAAAAAAAAACTTGAACAAAAGGCAACAACCTTTTCATTACACACAGATACATAAAGCACATCAAATAAAATCAACAGCATATAACAATAAATACAACACATTTATTATTATTATTAACGTTGTTGTCTCCAAAACAGCAGTTTTCATGAGGTCATGTTAATAAGCAAATGCTACCCTTTTGACTTCTGTGTCCTTAAATAGTGTAACCATATAACGTTCATAAATATCCAGAAAACACACCTCTGATTACATCTTTTTTTACTGTATCATATCTGGTCATATTCTGATTGAAATGAAATGAAACCACTAACCACTCTCTCCTCGAGATTTTCTTGTTCGCCATAATAACAGCGCAGGAAGGCCGCAGCGCGTTTTATCAAGTGTCTCTGATCGTGTAGCTGCTTCTCTGACATCAACACACACGCCATGAACAGGTGCACAAGTACCTATCAATTATTCAATCTGCCAACAGCAGCTCTATTAGTCTATAGAGAAACCTCCACTTTATTTTCGTTCAAACAGTAGCTTCTGAAATAGTTTCAGTCCCCTTGCAGCCTTCACTCAGAACTGTTTCTGGGAAACTGTCATTAACTCTCAACACTCACTGTAATGTTTTTCCTTTTCTAAAATGTATTTGCACACCAAGGACTTTCCATCTATAGATAGCCGAGAACGAATCAAACACCGATTGTGCACCTTGATATCATTCATGCGCGTCAAAGTCCAACATTAGAAATATTTGCAAAGAAGAAAATTGTGGAAACGGGAAGACGCGGACATATGTTGTTGTGAGCCGCTGTTTAAGATTGAATCCCACTGAAACAAAATCATTCCTAATCCAGAGTAGGCTTAATCACTTGCGTTTCACTTGCAGGAGAAATATGAATTCTGTTGAGAAAAGATCTACTCCACATTAACGAATCAGATACACAGTTACATCTATTAAACACAAAGAGCATTAAAAAGAAGAGCTCCCTTAAAACGGCATTTTTTAAATGTAAGGATAATTAAATTACAAGCTTTCAGCAAATGTGCAGCTCACGCAAGAATAGACTAATACTGCGGTGCTTCATAGTTTTCTAGATCCGAAGTGAAATCAAACATGCAACTGCAAGACTCCGTGCTCTGATGCCGGCTGTACCTTTCCGTAACTCCTCTCTCTGCGTGAGTAAAGCCAAGAGCATATGATGAGAGGACGGCTCTTTCGGCGAATCCCGAGCCTCGTTCTGCTCCATTTTCATTATTCCGTTAAAGAATGACAAAACGCGTGCGATAATAACTATCTGAGAGTTGACAGAAGACGCGCGCGTGTCATAGACAGATCCATCGCGCGGCGAATTTCTGCGTCTTGTGGCACTTGATGCGCAATAGAAACGCGCCCCGTTACTCTGGTGACTGATAAAACAGATGAACATCACCTAGACAAGACGGCGTTCCTGTGCTAACATCCACACAGTCCTTTTAGTAGTTTTGCGTTAAAGACGTAACTTCTACTCACAAATGTTTTTCACGCTATGTGCCATAAATGTGTCATACACTCTTAAAAATAAAGGTGCTTCACGATGCCATAGGTCTAAATGGTTCCATAGAGAACCTTTAACATCTGAAGAACCTTTCTGTTTCACAAAAGGTTCTTTGTGGTGAAAGAAGGTTCTTCAGATTACAACAAGGTAAGAAAGAGATGGTTCTTTAAAGAACCTTTGACTGAATGGTTCTTTGTGGAACCAAAAATGGTTCTTCTATGGCATCGCTTGAAGAACCTTTTGAAGCACCTTTATTTTTAAGAGTGTATGATGCCTTCAGCTGTTCCCATGATGAGCAACAATTAGTTGTGAATGATGGCGACTGTGTTTCCAACACATGAACATGCGCACCTGACAAATCTCCATCTTGATATGGATCTTAACTATTTAAAATACACCCTGCAGCAGTGCGTAAAGCAAATAAAGCCACTGGCAAAATACAGCCACTACAGCTGCAATAGATAAAGAATGCACTAGAAAGAGTAAAATGCGTTGTGACGCTTGTGTTTCTAACGAGAAAATGCATTCATAAATTTTGCACATCGAAACAGCTGTTTACTTAAAAGTTACAAGTCTCATGGGAGTAAATAGTAGTGTCTGAACTGGGAACTGTGTTTCCAACACATGAACATGCGCACCTGACAAATCTCCATCTTGATATGGATCTTAACTATTTAAAATACACCCTGCAGCAGTGCGTAAAGCAAATAAAGCCACTGGCAAAATACAGCCACTACAGCTGCAATAGATAAAGAATGCACTAGAAAGAGTAAAATGCGTTGTGACGCTTGTGTTTCTAACGAGAAAATGCATTCATAAATTTTGCACATCGAAACAGCTGTTTACTTAAAAGTTACAAGTCTCATGGGAGTAAATAGTAGTGTCTGAATTATTTCCGACAGATATTACAGGATGAAATTGTCGTCATTTAATAAAACAATTTATACGCTTGTCATCGTTTTTCTTCTTCTTCTTTTTTTTTATTCTCAACTGAATGATACAACTGCATCTGCTTTTGATAGACAAGAAATCTTGACACTGATGCAAACAGATAGTACTAAACTTAAATAGGCCTAATGCAAATTTCAAAACGAATTCATTATTGCAGTGTCCATTTGTAGAAAGTATTTCACCTGGTGTGAACACAAACAACAGAAACAGAAATGCATGCTTCTAAACAATGCACTTTGTATCAACCTGTAGTTTGGCGCAAGGCTTTTGCTTCTTCAAAGCGGAAAATGCATGTCCTTTTGAGATGCACATAAACTGTGAACTAAATCCAGATCATTCCATTTCTCTACATTGATTTGGGTCAGACAGCTGTTTGCTGTAGGAAAGAGAGGACAGTTGTGTGAAATGCTGATCGAGCTGATCAAGCTCCAGATGAATGTTATTGACACTGATCTGCTGTGTCTGGGGAAATCAGCTTTAGTGCCACTGCGGCCGCCGCATGATAAACTCAAAATCAATGCCACATTTGCCTTTATAAAGCACATATATCGGCGAAAAGTGCTGCAGTGTTCCTCCTTACTTTCAACTTCTTCATTTTATATGTCATATTGACCTGTTCATCTTTGATGTAACAAAATCTCGCGTCTGAAGGCTGGGCGGAAAAAGCGCGATTTTTTGACAAATATTTTTGACCACATCATTTTGAGACCACTACAGCTATAGCGGCATAATTTCTATTTTATTTTAATTAATTATTTTATTATTATTAATATAAAAAGTTACAGTAATATATTTTACAGTGATAATTTTACTAAAAGTTTTCTTGTAGTTACCGTGTAATTACTTTGAAGAACAGCTAATACTTAGGCTACGTACTGTAACCTTAGTAATAAATAGTTATCAACATATGTGTAACATGACAACTGTTAAATAGTGTTTAAAACTGTTAAAGAAAACCTCTCTCCAAACCTCTCTCCTCTCAAAAACAGAATGTGTTGAAAAAACATAAATATGTCTTATATACTATCAGTTTAACTCTCCAACAGCCCTAAACCGGGTCTCCTCTGGTTCAGGTGCTGCACCTGTTGAGGGGAACCCGATACCTGCTGGTCTGTTTAAAGGGCGCGTGGATGGAGACTCTGTCGGTTCGTGGGTCTCTCATGACAACCGTGACCGCTCGCGCTTTACATCTGTTCCACGTTGCTCATTACAAATTCATACGGCGTCCGAATGTTCGGAGCAGGAACAGTCGTTAGTTTGTCGAAAAAGACAACTTTTTCAAGACTATCAATATAAGGTGTATGTGAATGATGAAAATGCGTATAAATAGCCCGATTTTCTGTTTCTATTTGGCGTGCTGTTTTTACGCAGATATTGACTTTGGCGTGCATGTGATACGCACGTGTTTGACGTGCATATAACACGCAGTTTTTGCGTGCATATGATTCGCAATTTGTTGGCGTGCATATATGATATATAGTTTGGCGTACATATAATACGCACCTACCCCACACCCCTAAACCTAACCATCGCGTATCATATGCACGCCAAAGTAAATTTCTGCGTATAAATAGCACGCCAAATAGAAACAGAAAATCGTGCTATTGAAACGCACTTTCATGAGATCGGGGTAACCATACACTCTTCAGAAGGGTTCATAGGGTTCAACCATCCATAACCCCTTTAGGGTTCGTGAGCTGAATGCTACGGTTCTTCGGCGTTAAAAAGTTGAATAATGTATTTATAAGACACTTCTTACATTTAAAGAAGCCGGGAATAAAATTATTTAAAGATCTTATAGGATCTCCAGTGACATTAGGCTGTACTTATTAAGTTAATAATGAAAACAATTTTTTAGTGTATGAAAACACGAACATTTCTCTGTTTGAGTCAAGGATAAAAACGCAATTACAATGCAAAAAAAAAAAAAATTCCACGTCAATTGCGCGTTTATCATAAATATTAGAGGCTTTAATAGTTTATTTTGTAATTATTTACGGCGGATTGTTGCTCTTGTGTTTTTGATGACGTTTCACAGCTAATTGGGAGCTTGTCAATTTTCCAAACAATATCCATGCTAAACAGCTCAAAGGAATCTGCGTTAAAATGCTGTAGAGAAATAGCCCCATAACCCCTTTAGGGTTCGTGAGCTGAATGCTACGGTTCTTCGGCGTTAAAAAGTTGAATAATGTATTTATAAGACACTTCTTACATTTAAAGAAGCCGGGAATACAATTATTTAAAGGTCTTATAGGATCTCCAGTGACATTAGGCTGTACTTATTAAGTTAATAATGAAAACAATTTTTTTAGTGTATGAAAACACGAACATTTCTCTGTTTGAGTCAAGGATAAAAACGCAATTACAATGCAAAAAAAAAAAAAATTCCACGTCAATTGCGCGTTTATCATAAATATTAGAGGCTTTAATAGTTTATTTTGTAATTATTTACGGCGGATTGTTGCTCTTGTGTTTTTGATGACGTTTCACAGCTAATTGGGAGCTTGTCAATTTTCCAAACAATATCCATGCTAAACAGCTCAAAGGAATCTGCGTTAAAATGCTGTAGAGAAATAGCCCTCTTACCTTGACTCGAGCTGTATCTGTTGTAATTTCCAGCATTTTGACAGCTTGATCCTGGATGCTCTAACAACATTATGACGAAAATGAAAATAAACTACCAGTAGATCAAAATATGTATGGTAAAGGAAAACGAAAAACAATCTACGACTGGTTAAAAGCAGTGGGAAAATGAGCTGCCCAACAAAATAATGCACAGATAATGCACGGTCCCTCGGTGTTTCGGGGCTTTAACAACTTTTCAAATGTCTAGATTGAGTCGCTGTGCTGTTCTGGAGGTCTGAGGGAGGAGGAATCCTGATGACCTGCAGTTGTTTAGCATCACAAAAGCGCAGGATCGGAGCGCGTCACGGCTCTGTGTGTGTGAGTGTGTGTCTCTGTCCGCGGTGCTGAAGGAGTTCCTACAGAGGCGTGAACACACCGACCAACGTCCCACCCACCCCGCCTCCACACGTGTGTGTCCGAATCAAACGTTCCTCCCGAGCATCTCAAACGGAACGTGTCCATGTGACGGCCAGACACTGACTGAAGATAAAAACATCTCGGGATAGGCGGACAGGCAGCGAACAATTTCTGTTTCCAGTGACGATTCAGGGACGCTAATTTTAGGCTATGACAAATTAAACTTAACAATTATAATTAAAGAGCGTTCTGTTGAAGTTCTTATAAGATTATCAAACAAAATGATCCCTGTCACGTTCTTGGAAGGTCAAATTATGATGAGTAAAATTAGATCTATCCATCTATCTATCTATCTATCTATCTATCTATCTATCTATCTATCTATCTATCTATCTATCTATCTATCTATCTATCTATCTATCTATCTATCTATCTATCTATCTATCTATCTGTCTATCTATCTATCTAACTATCTATTTATCTATCTATCTGTCTATCTGTCTGTCTGTCTATCTGTCTGTCTGTCTAAGTTTCGTTCAACAAGTTCGGCACAAAAGGATTTCTGTCTTTAAAATTAAAAGCAAAAATAACGTTCCTACAACTGTCTGTCTGTCTAAATTATGATTATTCTAAATTATTCAAATGTAAAGCAAAAATGACATTAAAAAATAAAATATAAATACAAATTAATGAATGGATAAATAGATAAATAACAAGTTTATACATATTATTGAGAAAAGCAAAAATGGTACCCCATGATACACCAGAAGACATGCATGTAAAAATATCTGTATATGAGAGATCAATTCCAGTATTACAGATCAAATTAAAATATATTTTAAATGGTCATATCAGACATGAGATCAGAAAATGATGGTATAACAATAGCATAACACTGGAAGTAATGATGTTTTAGTTGATAATGTAATATTAAATGATCAGTTGGTCACTTTTTAAATTGTCTTTTGGTGGCATCTATGACACACACACACACACACACACACACACACACACACACACACACACTGACCGTATTTTCTATTGCCCTACACCAACCCTACCCCTAAACGTACACCTCACAGGAAACTTTCTGCATTTTTAGATTTTCAAAAAACTTCATTCCACACCCACACACACACACACACACACACACACACACACACACACACACAACCGTCCCATTGACACACACAGAAACTCAGATGCACCCTACCAATACACTCCCTCAATCCGTCTCTACCAAGTCTGAGCATCTCAGCTATTGTGTCTGCGCTGTGCCTCTCGTTTCACTTGATTTCAGTAAATTGCTAAAGTGTTAATGCACCTGGGGCCCACTTACAGGGCCATTTCAATTAGGCTTTAATAGAGCTCTGTGGCATTTGCTCCAGCGGCCTGGTGGCAGAGCTTCAGCTCATCGCACACATGCAGGAAACAGCATGTCCTCTGAGCTCAGTGAGAGACACTTGAAGATCCTTGTGTTGTGAAGAGCACATAGCAGATCAAAACTATATATTATTCTGGAGTGGAACGTCCAGCTTTTTTAAATGATTGTGCATTTAAGGGCTGTGAACATCAATGGTCTGCACATACGTCTCTTTGTGAGGACCGTCGGGAGATAGAGTCATCTGGAGCAACAGGACCAGATGAAAGTGGATGCATCATATTCCAAATAAAGTAAAGCCATGCCATCGACTCGGTGTAGTTTCTGCTGTGCATCTTTTAAAGGCATACTTCACCCCAAAATAAAAATTAGTTGAAAATGCCCTCACCCTCAGGCCATCCAAGATGTAGATGAGTTTGTTTCTT